CAAGGCAAGGCAAGACTAGGCTAGGCTAGGAAGCTAATGAGGGCTCTGTAGAGTAGCTATCACTGCTGGCGATAAGCGCATACAATACTCGGCAGTTGAAGGGAGTGAGATAGAGTGTTAAATAGTGAGTGAGTGATATGTCAGTGCTGTGTGCAATCAGTGCTGTGTGCAATCAGTGTAATGAATGATGGGATATGTAGTCCGGGGTGATATGCAACAGTGTAGTGCGAGAGTCAATGAAGTGGAAAGGGTGACCTCTGATGGCTAGCAGACGGAAGTTCATGGACCGGATACGTAACAATATATATATATATATTATATTGAATTTATTAATTTTTAAACAACACATTTCTTTTGTGAAACATTTTCCTTGAAAAGTGTTTATTTTTCCTATCAATGCATTTTTTAAGCATTCATATGCATAAGCATTCGTCACGTCACATATGCTTTTGAAGCTGATTTGGGCAGGGTTTTCTCTTCCATCTGTGTTGAGTGTGCTGAAGTGGTCTGGATGGAAGTGGTGCTTGAGGTTTAATCAGATTATTAGATGGGACTGCATGTGCTTTGTAGCTCTCAAATGATACTCCCTGCCCAGCCTGTTATCAGAAAATTTCCATGCAGTTTTCAATTCTCTGGCTATAGTCTGAGTGGTCTTTGGTTGAAGCATGATCAGTGCTTGGCATCACACATCAGTTGATGTTCACATTTCTATCCCAGATGATATCAATCACATGATCCAAACTCTTTCATGCATATTCTCTAATGTGCAAGTTTTTCCTATCAATGCATTTTTTAAGCATTCATATGCATAAGCATTCGTCACGTCACATATGCTTTTGAAGCTGATTTGGGCAGGGTTTTCTCTTCCATCTGTGTTGAGTGTGCTGAAGTGGTCTGGATGGAAGTGGTGCTTGAGGTTTAATCAGATTATTAGATGGGACTGCATGTGCTTTGTAGCTCTCAAATGATACTCCCAGCCCAGCCTGTTATCATAATATTTCCATGCAGTTTTCAATTCTGTGGTCTTTGGTTGAAACATGATCAGTGCTTGGCATCACACATCAGTTGATGTTCACATTTCTATCCCAGATGAAATCAAATCACATGATCCAAACCCTTTCATGCATATTCTCTAATGTGCAAGTGTAGTGACACTGCAGTTAATGGAACAAATAATTTAACATGTTTTGTTATGTAATACAGTCAGGGACAGAATATACTCTAATAGGTTAAATTTAATATAAATTTTAGATTTAATCTTATTTTTAATAAAATCATAACTTAATCTTAATTTATTGGAAAATTTTGTCTCAAAACAGAAAATTAAGCTTAACATAAAATCTCATTTGACTTAGTGAATCTATGTATTTCAATAATTAACATGTTAAATCCATAATTCTAGCTAATACGATCTACTTTCCCTATTTTACAAATATCAAAATCAAAGTAAAACAAATGTTAAGGAAGAGACAGTCAACATGAATCTCATTTAACATAAAACAACAATAAAGTAACAAAACTATAGAATACATTAGAAACTAAAAAATGAATTTATAAATATAAAGTTTATCATATAAATATCATATTTATTTATAGGAGTTTTATATAGCAAGCCTTTAGGATGACAGTGAAAGAAAATAATATTTAGAAAATAATATATAATATAATATAATTTAAAAATTATATTATATTATAAGTTATTATTATATTATAAATACACATTTTTATTCCAAATTACATGCTTCAATATGAAACACATAAGAACTACTATTAGTGTAAGCATTGCGACAAGTCCTGCAATAAAACCAATGTGCAGAGAAGTTTTTTCATCAGTCATACTTGAGGAAGCATCTGTTTATGAAGGAAAGTAACCGAAAGATCAAGTCATATTGATATCAATCATGTTATAACAAGCTGCATACTTTTTTTTAAAATAGTGTTTTATCAAAGGAATGTTTGCGATCTGTTCTTACCCCATGTAAGGACCATCGGTTCTCGAAGACTGCTGTGCTTTATTTGACAGGAGTAGTTTTGTGTAGCGTCAGATAACAGAATTGTCACCTGAATTTGGTATGTTTGGTCATGATTTGGCAGGAAGCCTGTTGATATCCCATCTAAGGCTGGCTGTCCATTAACCATCCACTCTACAGTGATATCTTTAGGGTAAAATCCCGTCACCACACAGTTAAGAGCTCCAGCACGCTTATGACTGATCACAGCTTCAGGGCGAACTGTAAGCGCAGATGAAACACACACAATCAACAAGATTACAAAAATATATTAAGCTGAGTACAATGTGTTTTTGTTAAACGTAAAACCGGTTTATCAAGCTGGATGCATGAATATCTAGAAACAACAACACTGGATACATTTAAACATGCACAAACACACTTGCCTTTCTGGTCAAGTATTGTTCTACTGTGTTCATAGAACTTCTTGAGTCGAGGAACACAATCCCGATGAATGTATATGAGATTATTGTGATTCCAGAGCTCAAACCTGTCTAGAATGTTCTTAATGTCCAGATCTTGTGGCAAATGTGAGTACCATTGAGGGCTGTCCATATCCATAGAGAGACTATACTCTCCATTGACTGAAAAATGATACAGTCCACTTGACGTTCCATTATGGCTCAGCTGACAGCCATACATTAACTGCAAGAGTGGACCTAAAAATACAAAATCATCATTTAATTAGAACTGCAACCATTTTTAGGAATGCGATGTATGCAATGTAGTGTTACATACTACAGTGGAGGACTAATTTGCTGCAACCTTGTGGGAATATTGGTCTCTATTAAAAAGGCACACAAAAGCTGTTGTGATTCTGAGTGTAGTAACTCTCTAGTGCCCATTACACAGTCCCAGATTAATGTAATATTTGCAGTTATTAAATCTAATATCTGATAAATTAGATGATACTGGGATTCTTTTGTATAAAGAGCCTAAACAGTTATTTTATTTTATTTCTGCAAACAAACCCAACTAAAAGTTTTTTAATTTACTGTTGAATATTTTTAAGGTTATGCAAGTTAAAACACGTTTCCCTTTGTTTTTATAGATAAACAAGTGACTTTGATTTTGTTAGTACAATCATAGTGTGAAAACCTTTCTTCGACATTCATTTCCTTACATAATCATTTTGTCATTTTATTAATATTACTACAAAAGTGTTTCAATAAATAACAACACTAAATTAAATGCGTAAAATTGCTTATTGAATCCCAAAAGCTGCTAGATCAGATTGGTGCTTACATATTTCTTGATGGGATAGATGCCTTTGTTGTTCTGAAGTAACAAATTGTTAGACATCTATAGAGATTATGTGAAAAATTATTGTTTATTGGCAATAACCTGTACCTACACCATATATCAATATTATATTATTTATTAAAACACCCTCATACAATGCACATTTTTAGAAAACAAAATCATGTCAGTCAAAATGTGTATAATATTATACTAACATTATTTAGTATAACAAGTATTCATATATTTATTTTCATCTGGTTGATAGTTTTAGACTAGTTGTAGAACCAGAAAGAGATTTCCAAACCTACCTTTCAACCCGAAGGTTAAATTTGCATATCTTGAAAGCAGGTTGAAATAGCCCGTTTTAAAGTTTGTGCAATCCCTAAGATCTCTCCAGACAGTGGACAGAGATTCCAGTTGGCCAAAGGGATGTGAAAATACATCAGAGATGCTGTCATAAGTAAATACTCTGTAATCATCAAGCATGCCATATGATGAGTATTTAGGTAGATATTGATGACCGGGAGCGAATGTCACATATATGATCAAACTGTGATGCCCTGTGGAGAAAAAAAAAAGACAAGAAAAAATTATACATTGCTCATGTAACTGTGAATATACTGGGTATTTTATAAATACTTTGCGGTGCTTATGAACTTTCGTGAAGCTTTGAATAGTGATGATTATCTCCCACTGATTGCTTAATATTTAATAATAAATGTAACATGGACACTTGCAATTTGTGAAAAAGAAAGGAAATTTGGCAACCCACCGGAGTATTCCGCGTGCAAAGCCACCAGGGAGGACAGCAACAAGAACTGTAATAATATTCAGGAAAATATGTAAACAGAATGAATAGAATGTAAATATATTCATTCTACTCAGACACCTACAGTATCTCTTGCAAACAGATCTCCCATCAGCACCTTAATTCTTATTACCAATTAGCCATTAGAAAATTATATTGAAAAATAACATATAATCTACCTGTATTACTGCATACAATAAGAAACAGGACGACAGTAGGTTGTTCAGAATCGGGAATAAGCTATCAAGTTCCACACAGCACAGTTATCACACAGCACAATAGCTTATAAATCTGATGACATCTTGTCATGTTATAGGCTCCTATATTCCTACTTATAAATGCTAATAAACAACAATACATTTTAGCAGGTATTTTAGTGGATTTGCAAAAAGGCTACATGCTATTGAATTATTTAGGTAACTTGAGTTGCCAAACCTGTTTTGCTCGTGTCGACATCGTGTCGGCTAATGGCCTGAACATCCAGTGATAATGCAATAGAGTTACTTTCGTTTTCGACGCCCCAGTTTACAGAACACAAGCTGCAATCTTTCCAGTCCAGAATCTGGTAAATATACATGTGAGACGGCTAAGACATCCCTACACTAATAATCGCTCTGACGTCGATTAGGCTTGCCGCGATAGACGGTGCTGACGGTGATACCACTGCGGTCAGGCCAGCCTCCACTTTGAAAAACACGGTCATTCTAGCCGCCACGTTGTTTTGTGGTGCGCGGCATATTAATTTATTGAGCCAGTTTCTCTGGCAATGAATGCATTTAAAATAATACAAATGTTTAAAAAACAGTCTGATAAAAATGAAAATTACTTCAAATGTTGAGTAATATTAAATGTAGAATTTTCAAATAAAAAAAA